TTCTTTGAACTAGGACCTTGGAAAGCTTTGGGTGCAGGTGCCAGCATCTCCTGCAGACTACCAGTGTGATCCACATCCTGTATGGGCAAGCACCTGGCAGGAAGACCCAATGTACCACCACAACGCTAACAGTGGTAGTTCATTGAGGACAAAAGCTGACAGCCACTAAGACTGTTGGGACTTGTAGTACATGCTGGAAAAAGGGTGGTGAATTGCCCCAAAGAGGGAGTGAAGAGATCCTCCACCAACACCATACACAGCCTCTTACCAAAGAATAAGACCATAGGTCATGTGGTCCTACACAGCATATACAGACGGTCAATGGAAAGCAAGGACCATATATCTTCTCCTACAGGCCTTCCTTGAAGCTCAATAAGCTCTGACATGACTCCATATTATTAGCTGCGCACGCAGTAAATGATGGAAGTGAGGTTTTCCACCTGTTAGCTAGGTGTCTCATCACACAGCTGAAGCAAAAGAATGTTACGTCACTTCCGCTTTCAACGCAAACCATGTCGATTTCACACATTAGTGTTTCCATATTTTTGTCCAACTCCTGTAGTTCATTTAATTTTTTTTAGCACCCCATGCGCCTTCCTCACTTAGGAAAGAATGAAACCCCACCTAAATCCCCCTAGGATAAACATCATGTATCCAAGTGGCTTTGGGGCAACAAACTGGCTCCAATGACCTTTTCTGGGGGGGGGTTAAGTTCTAGCCAGCCATGACTTCCAGAGATTCCGTTTTTTTTTCCCAGCTGAGTTTGGACTTTCGGCCATCACCTTGGGGGGAAGTTCCGTCACCCAAATAACACATATTTGCAGCCGCAAGGGCAGGCTTTAACACCCACACATGTGCGTTGTTGGGCAGCCAATGCTTCTGTGCTGACTCACTGGCTCCCAGGGACACTGGGCTGTCAAAGACAGCTCTCGGCCCTCACTAATAATTCTTTTGATCATGTGCTCGCAGCAAAACACAGTAGTCACATGATCGAAAATCTTCCCGCCCCCCAGGCACTCAGAACTTTGTGAATGCGGAAAAGGGTTAAAGGGACTTCAGATGAGACATTTTTGTGGTCATTTAGCTCGTGAATAAACAATATAAAGCCAAAGACACAACAAACTGACCTTTTCTGCTAGCCAGCGTGCCAAATTTCAGAAGAGATTCCGTTTTTTCCCAGCTGAGTTTTTCGGCCATCACCTTGGGAATTCCCCTGTCACATAGCTCCGGAATTGCGTTTAACCAGGATATTTTCGCAGCACACTTGGCACAGGTGAATGCAGTTCTAGATGTCTGCAAAAAACACATGCGTTTACAGCGGGAAATCCCAGGATCTTCTTAATCCCCTCCAGACAGGATATTTTGCCACACAGAACAAATGTAATCTTTGCTAAGACTCTGAATGCAACTCTGTATTCATTAACCCCTTCTTCCCAGCCTTTTAAGAGATCACAACACCGAAGCATTGTCACCTGCTTGCTAAGATTCCGGACCATGTGATCACTGTGATTGGCTGTCAAAGTGATTAGATAATTGGAAGCCCATCCTACCAGCTTCAATTGTCAGTGACGGTACTGTCAGAGTGCTGGGGGCATGCTGCCAACACAAAACAGGTATGCGTATACATGGAGGCACAGAATACAGCCAATCTCTGTGCTGCCACATATATACATACATCCAACAGGAAGGGGTTAATAAATCTCTGAAATGTGTGTTTTTTAATGCCACTAGTGGAAGTGCCTGAAATTGACTTGGTATCAGCCTCTTACTATGCACTATGCAGCAGCACTGGGAGAAGAAGGGGGTAGAACCGAGAGCCAATCAGGTGTGCTGCATGTACATCTACTAACATGGAACATACTGTTCAATTAGAAAAAAAGCGTACTTTAATTAAAAAGTTGATTGGAGAGGAGAAAACATATAAAGAAGTGCAGAAACTGATAGGCTGCTCAGCTAAAATGATCTCAAATGCTGTAAAATGGAAACCAAAACATGGAAGAAAAACAGAAAACTGCCATTTTAATGGATCGAAGAATAGCCAAAATGGCAAAGACACAGCCAATGATCAGCTCCGGGGTGATCAAAGACGGTCTAAAGTTCCCTGTGAGGACTGTTACAATTAGAAGACGCCTATGTGAAGCCAAGCTATCTGCAAAAAGCCCCCGCAAAGTCCCACTGTTGGAAAAAACAACTGGTGAAAGAGGTTACAATTTACCAAAGAACATATTGACTGGCAAAAGAGAAATGGCGCAACATTTTGTGGACTGATGAAAGCAAGATTGTTCTTTTTTGGATCTGCTGCAGACAGTTTGTCAGACAACCCCCAAACACTGAATTCAAGCCACAGTACACTGTGAAAACAGTGAAGCATGGTGGTGCAAGCATCATGATATGAGGATATGTCTCATACTACGGTGTTGGGCCTATTTATCGCATACCAGGGATCATGGATCAGTTTGAACACATCCAAATACTCGAAGAGGTCATGCTTTATTTTGAAAAGCCTAATATTCCTTTTTCTTCACTTTTTGTAACGTAATAACAAATTTGAAACATTTTTCTTCGTGTTATGATTTGGAATAGACTGTGCAGTGTTCCCAGTGCATTTGCGTGTATGGAAATAAAAGTTACTATAAGGGTTTTGAGATGACTTACTTTTTTAAACACACTGCTATGATTTTTAACACACCTGTGTATATATATACACATACAGTATCTCACAGAAGTGAGCACACCCCTCACATTTTTGTAAATATTTTATTATATCTATTCATGTGACAACACTGAAGAAATGACACTTTGCTACAATGTGACGTAGTGAGTGTACAGCTTGTATAACAGTGTACATGTGTTGTCCCCTCAAAATAACTCAACCCACAGCCATTAATGGCTAAACCGCTGTCAACAAAAGTGAGTACACCCCTAAGTGACAATGTCCAAATTGGGCCAAATTAGCCATTTTCCCACTCTCCGGTGTCATGTGACTCGTTAGTGTTACAAGGTCTCAGGTATGAATGGGGGACAGGTGTGTTAAATTTGGTGTTTTCGATCTCACTCTCTCATACTGGTCACTGGAAGTTCAACATGGCACCTCATGGCAAAGAACTCTCTGAGGATCTGAAAAAAAGAATTGTTGCTCTACATAAAGATGGCCTAGGCTATAAGAAGATTGCCAAGACCCTGAAACTGAGCTGAGGCACGGTGGCCAAGACCATACAGCAGTTTAACACACGACAGGTTCCACTGAGAAACAGGCCTCGCCATGGTCGACCAAAGAAGTTGAGTGCATGTGCTCGCATCACATCCAGAGGTTGTTTGGGAAATAGACGTATGAGTGCTGCCAGCATTGCTGCAGAGGTTGAAGGGGTGGGGGGTCAGCCTGTCAGTGCTCAGACCATACGCCGCACACAGTGCATGAAATTGGTCTCTGCATGGCTGTCATCCCAGAAGGAAGCCTCTTCTAAAGATGATGCACAAGAAAGCCTGCAAACAGTTTGCTGAAGACAAGCAGACTGAGGACATGGATTACTGGAACCTGTCATGTGGTCTGATGAGACCAAGATAAACTGATTTGGTTCAGATGGTGTCAAGCGTGTGTGGCGGCAACCAGGTGAGGAGTACAAAGACAAGTGTGTCTTGCCTACAGTCAAGCATGGTGGTGGGAGTGTCATGGTCTGGGGCTGCATGAGTACTGCCGGCACTGGGGAGCTACAGTTCATTAAGGGAACCATGAATGCCAAAATGTGCTGTGACATACTGAAGCAGAGCATGATCCCCTCCCTTCGGAGACTGGGCCGCAGGGCAGCATTCCAACATAATAACAACCCCAAACACACATCCAAGATGACCACTGCCTTGCTAAAGAAGCTGAGGGTAAAGGTGATGGACTGGCCAAGCATGTCTCCAGACCTAAACCCTATTGAGCATCTGTGAGACATCCTCAAATGGAAGGTGGAGAAGCATAAGGTCTCTAACATCCACCAGCTCCGTGATGTCGTCATGGAGGAGTGGAAGAGGACTCCAGTGGAAACCTGTGAAGCTTTGGTGAACTCCACGCCCAAGAGGGTTAAGCCAGTGCTGGAAAATAATGGTGGCCACACAAAATATTGACACTTTGGGCACAATTTGGACATTTTCACTTAGGGGTGGACTCACTGTTGTTGCCAGCGGTTTAGACATTAATGGCTGTGTGTTGAGTTATTTTGAGGGGACAGCAAATTTACATGTTATACAAGCTGTACACTGACTACGTCACATTGTAGCAAAGTGTAATTTCTTCAGTGTTGTCACATGAAAAGATAGAATACAATATTTACAAAATGAGGGGGGTTTATTGATATTATTTATTTTTTGCCCTGTATCCCAAAAGCTTGTTTTTTTTTTTAACTTATTTTGAACATGTGACCGCAGCAGAGAACTAGAAGCTCCTCCTGTCACTGTTTCCCTACAGGCAGGCTGGGAACCTGTCATTTGTCACAGAAGACTGCAGAGAGGGCCAACGTAGTGCAAAGGTAGGAATCCAGCCGTAAAGAAGGACTCGCTCACAATGGCTGCAGGAGGTCGGAGGTTTAGTTATGGAGATCAGGGGAGGACTAGAAGCTTTGCTGCGTTTTCATCACTAATATTACAGGGGTGATTTCTTCTCACTTCCTGTGTAGCCAACATGGGGGGGGGGGGGGGGAGAGGGGAGAGAGAATAGACAGAAAAGAAAGTACTATTTTAGTACACTGGGCTTGGAGATATTTTCCTTGACTTCCTGTCTGAGGGAAAATCTTTTGAGACAACAATAAAGGTCCAACAGAGGTCTTTGCACTTCACCTATCAAAAATAAATGAATATTCCACTTAAAAAAAAAAAAAAAAAAAAAAGAACCCTTAGTATCACAGTAAGTGTGAAAGAGCCCTAAATTATACCCTGTACTCATTTCAGTACAAATCTTCCCATCAGATTATACTGTCATTTTTTTGAGTGATTATATGTTCATTTAAAGTGTTACTAAACCCCGGACCTTGCATTCACTATATTATATCCGGTCTCGGACCCTGCATTCACCCGGGACCCTGCATTCACTATATCTGGTTCACTATATCCGCTCCCCGGACCCTGCATTCACTATATATATCCGCTCTCCCGGGACCCATTCACTATATCCGCCCCGGACCCTGCATTCACTATATCCGCTCTCCCCGGACCCTGCATTCACTATATCCGCTCTCCCTGGACCCTGCATTCACTATATCCGCTCTCCCCGGACCCTGCATTCACTATATCCGGTCTCCCCGGACCTGCATTCACTATATCCGCTCTCCCCGGACCCTGCATTCACTATATCCGCTCTCCCCGGACCCTGCATTCACTATATATCCGCTCTCCCGGACCCTGCATTCACTATATCCGCTCTCCCCGGACCCTGCATTCACTATATCCGCTCTCCCCGAAACCCTGCATTCACTATATCTCTCCCGGACCCTACATTCACTATATCTGGTCTCTGCATTCACTATATCCACTCTCCTCGGACCCTGCATTCACTATCCGCTCTCCCAGGACCCTGCTCTCCCCTCCACCCCCGCATTCACTATATCCGCTCTCCCCCCTGATTCACTATATCTGGTCTCCCCGGACCCTGCATTCACTATATCCGCTCTCCCCGGACCCTGCATTCACCTCGCATTCACTATATCTGCTCTCCCCGGACCCTGCATTCACTATATCCGCTCTCCCCGGACCCTGCATTCACTATATCTGCTCTCCCACAGTACACACAACATAGAAATGCAATTATTTTAGTAAATATAAACTGCTAAATATCTTTTCTCATCAGCAATATATAGCAGTCTTGTCACTTCTCTCAGTGTCTAACCCAGCAGGGTTAAAGCTTGTAGGAGGAGTTTTCATTCTCCTCCGACTGTCCTATGAGACTACAAGAGCCCTGACCCTCTGTCTGGACAGTGCTGATCACATGCACTCTCCCAACAACAAAAAAAAAGCTCTCTATCAATACACACCAAACTGAGCATCGGCTGCTGGTTGCCACCATCTTGGATGTTGACTTCAAGCTGTAACTCAAGTGACACACTATAGTATTCTCTGTCTCCTCCATAAAAGGTTATATAGTGAGGGGAGGGGCAGAGGAGCTGGGCCAGCACACAAAGTAATTAGACACTCGCAGTAGAAGGGAGGGCTATGGGATCAAAGACACATTGCAGGTGAATAAAAAATAATTCACAGAAAGTAAAAACACCAGAAGTAGGCATTTAAAATACTGTGTGTGCTCTTACCTGTAGTTTTTTTAGGGTGGTGACAGGGTCTCTTTAACCGCTTCAATACCGATGCACGTACAGTGGGGAAAAAAAGTATTTAGTCCCCACCAATTGTGCAAGTTCTCCCACTTAAAAAGATGAGAGAGGCCTGTAATTGGCATCATAGTAGACCTCAACTATGAGAGACAAAAGGAGAAATAAAAAATCCAGACAATCACATTGGCTGATTTGGAAAGAATTTATTTGCAAATTATGGTGGAAAACAAGTATTTGGTCACCTACAAACAAGCAAGATTTCTGGCTCTCACAGACCTGTAGCTTCTTCTTTAAGAGGCTCCTCTGTCCTGCACTCATTACCTGTATCAATGGCACCTGTTTGAACTTGTTATCAGTATAAAAGACACCTGTCCACACCTCAAACAGTCACACTCCAAACTCCACTATGGTGAAGACCAAGAGCTGTCGAAGGGCACCAGAAACAAAATTGTAGACCTGCACCAGGCTGGGAAGACTGAATCTGAATAGGCAAGCAGCTTGGTGTGAACAAATCAACTTTGGGAGCAATAATTAGAAAATGGAAGACATACAAGACCTCTGATAATGTCAGGGATCTCCTCGATCCCTGCCGCGATGGTCCCGGCGCAGGCGCACTGCTCCACCCAGTACACGGGCACTAGGTCCGGGCCGGCCGCGGCGTTCGAGTTTGCGCATGCGCAGTAGAAGCCGCGGCCGCCCGCTGGGCACCAATGGCAGCACAGGGCGGGATATTTAAAGGTCCCTGAGCTGTCATTTCGTTGCCTTCTGGTCTTACCTGCTTCCTGTGATCCTGTACCTGTGCCTAGTAAGTTATTGACCCGGATTGCCTTTGACCTTGCTGATTTCTCCTGCCCAGACCCTTGCTTGCCTGACCTCTCTCCCTGGATGCCCCTTATTAGATCTGACCTCCTGTTGCTGACCTGGCGTGTGACCCGACGATTCTCTGCCTGCTCCCTTGTACCTTACCGTCCTCTACATTGCCGACTCGGCCTGTCTGACTACGCACTTGCTCAGCCATCCATCCATCCCATCGGGCTCACCCGACCTCCTCACATCTGGCTCTCCCTGGTTAGAACCCCTGGCGAACACCCCTACCACTGACAGGTGTGCTCAGTAGAGACGACCTGGTCTCGGGGTACTACAAGTCCATCCCCACCATCAGGGGCCCTGGTGAACAAGTACCCTGGGGCTTAGACTCCGCGCTCTGGGCACGCCTGACCAGTGGAGTGCTAGTGGTGCCGCTCGGCGGTCCCTCACAGATAATCTCCCTCGATCTGGGGCTCCACGCAAGATCTCACCCCGTGCGGTCAAAATGATCACAAGAACGGTGACCAAAAATCCCAGGACCACACGGGGGGACCTAGTGAATGACCTGCAGAGAGCTGGGACCAACGTAACAAAGGCTACCATCAGTAACACACTACACCACCAGGGACTCAGATCCTGCAGTGCCAGACGTGTCCCCCTGCTTAAGCCAGTACATGTCCGGACCCGTCTGAAGTTTGCTAGAGAGCATTTGGATGATCCAGAAGAGGATTGGGAGAATGTCATATGGTCAGATAAAACCAGAATAGAACTGTTTGGTAGAAACACAACTTGTTGTGTTTAGAGGAAAGAGAATGCTGAGTTGCATCCAAAGAACACTATACCTACTGTGAAGCATGTGGGTGGCAACATCATGCTTTGGGGCTGTTTCTCCGCAAAGGGACCAGGACGACTGATCCATGTACAGGACAGAATGAATGGGGCCATGTATCGTGAGATTTTGAGTGCAAACCTCCTTCCATCAGCAAGGGCATTGAAGATGAAACGTGGCTGGGTCTTCCAACATGACAATGATCCCAAGCATACCACCCGGACAACGAAGGAGTGTCTTCGTAAGAAGCATTTCAAGGTCCTGGAGTGGCCTAGCCAGTCTCCAGATCTCAACCCCATAGAAAACCTTTGGAGGGAGTTGAAAGTCCGTGTTGCCCAGCGACAGCCCCAAAACATCACTGCTCTAGAGAAGATCTGCATGGAGGATGGGCCAACATACCAGCAACAGTGTGTGCCAACCTTGTGAAGACTTCCAGGAAACGTCTGACCTCTGTCATTGCCAACAAAGGATATATAACAAAGTATTGACATGAACTTTTCATATTCACCAAATACTTATTTTTCCACCATAATTTGCAAATAAATTCTTTCCAGATCAGCCAATGTGATTGTCTGGATTTGTTTTCTCATTTTGTCTCTCATAGTTGAGGTCTCCCTATGATGCCAATTACAGGCCTCTCTCATCTTTGTAAGTGGGAGAACTTGTACCATTGGTGGTGACTAAATACTTTTTTGCCCCGCTGTAAATATACACAGCCTGGTACTGAAGTGGTTATACCGGGACAATGGCTGAGGCGACAACCATGATCACGTATCATTTTTCAGTGCCAACGATTCTCTTTTTTTTTTTTTTTTTCCAAAAAGAAAGCCTTTATTAATAAAGAACATAATGGTACAAAAGACATGTACAGGGTGCCTAAGCGAAACAGCAGGCACAACCTACAGCGACACAGCAGTAACTCAAACAAGAAAATACAGATAATGCAATGATACAAAACCCGACTACAATAA